GGGCACTGGACACCCAGCAGGTGCTTAGTTAATAAAATCCAAGTTCAGAAGGTTGCTGCCCCCCAAGAGAACACCAAATTAAAGAGACTGACAAGGATTAAGGTGACTTCTCTTTTCCCTGCCATGATAAAAAGCCCAGAAACACTGCAACTGGAGGAGCAGAGGGGAGAAAACTTAAAAACAAGGCACTGAGGAATTAAGGCTTGAAAATAGAGAAGGCTGCGGTCACCTGTGCACCAACCCCTATCCTGTTTGGTCAGGGAAGAAACGGGTTTTCGGATCCGACCCACCATTCGGAGATGCCACGTGCCGCATGTAATAAAATAAGGTGAAAGAAAAGGTAGGCAGCTTATTTGTGCTTCTTCAGTGCAGAGAAACAAAGCACGCAGACAAAAGCCCTCTTTCCAGCGGACAAACATGTCTAGCAGGTGATCAAATTCAACCCACACAAGAGAACCGCAAAATGGATTCTGGTCGTGTGGACCCGGCTGCTTCTGCAGAACCCCTGGCCCTTGGCTGCAACCCACACTACAGTCGGCAGCCACGAAAAGCCCAAGGAAGCCGGGGGAATGAGAAGTCTGGATGCAAAAGGGGAATGAGGCACCACGTCTAGGCCACAGTCTGGGCAGGCCCACAGGTGTGGTCGTGTGTACTCAGGGGAGGGGGCAGACGCGTCCCAATCACCCCTCACACGTCAGCCAGGTCACTGCTGCCTTTGTGTTTCCTTCTTTGTTTATGAGCACTGGGGATCCAAAGTCTCGAGCACAGAGTGCATCAGGCCCCAAACTGTCACAGGCAGAGTCAGGCACACTGCTGGCTCTGCAAGGATTTAATCAGTAACTGGCCCAGGAGACTGGCACAGGGGTAAGCTCCAACCTGACCCCACAGACGGCAAAGTTTACGGCCAGGCCAGGGGGATAGGCTGCCAGCCCCCAGGGCCCTGGGCTGGGCCCATCTCCCCAGCGGGGAATCAACTGAGGTCCACCTGAGGGGTGTACCCAGCTGGAGCAGTCTACCAGGCGGGCTGGGAGCCCCCATGTGCTTCCTCCACCCTAGCCTGATGCAGCTGTGGTCCTGGAAGCCTTTATCTCTGACAACGATCCAGTTAATCGGATCAGTGTAGACAGACTCCAAAGACGGTTTGGGCAGGAGTGTATTTGGTTTGTTTATCGGTTTGAATCCAGATCAATCACTGAGTCCTGTTCCTGAAGCCTACACAATTAACCACATAATTACCAGATGGTTCTGAGTTGGGCTGTGCAGGCAGCTTAATATATGGATGATGTACATTTCATGGAAGGATATGACCCGATCCGGAACATACCTGATCTGTCGGCAGCTTGCGGCTGGGCCAGGGGACTCTGCAAAGCCACAGGGCTGCAGAGGGCTTTTGTTGCAGTGAACTACACTCAAATTCACCTCTGTTTCATTTGGGCTAATATTTCTCAATAGCATGCTTGGGCCACACTATAAAATGCAGACAGATTACATAATGCCCAGGCCTCAGAGAAACCCCTCAGGGCCTGCTTTGCTTCCCCAGGGCCTGGACACCAACCAGGTGTTTCATGATGGGACGAGGTCCCTGGTACACTTCCAACCCCACTTCTGCCCTGGAGGCCACTGCCACAGCCAGGACTGCCCTCAGCAGCCCCCTCCACACTCACAGGCCCTGGCACAGAGAGCCCTGCACCCCACTGGAGCCCACCAGGGCAAAATGCAAGGACATCCCCTGCCCACAGGGCTTAGTGGCCACAGGCGGAGGAAGGGGGATTTGCCAGCCCCTCGGACACTTGCTCATAGCTCCTACTTCCCCATTTCCAACCCTACCAGAGCAGGGTTCTGCCGAGACAAATCTTGTTCCAGGGATGGCCCTCATCCCCAGTCCTGAAAATCACAGCTCCTCTCCGGAGAAGCCTAAGCTACCAAGGTACCACCCACCTCGGCTGGTGAGGGTGGTGCCGGGGCCTCTGGCTGCTGGAGGAACCAGTGCCCAGCCTGTCTTTGTTCCTCTCCTCTCTCTCCTACAGACCCCTTGAGCAATCGGAGCAAGCTGGGGGAGGGGGACCTCGGAGCCTCCAAAGCTGGCTTTCCCCACCAGACCATGGCCAGCAGCAGCAGAGCACACGCTCGAGGCTTCTCCCAAGGAGGGTCACTGTGCCTCTCAACCCTTTCCTCCCCCCTCCCAACTCCCCTTCATTTTGAGGGGCGGTAGAAAAACAACAATGCCCCCCTGAAGCAGGGGGAAATTCTGAAGCCAGATTGGGGGGCTCCTGATCCCAGGCAGGAAACTATTAAGGGCACTGATTCCTCCCTGAACCTGAAGCACTGCGTGCTGGTGAATTTTCTGAGGCTCTCCCTCCATCAAATGAAAAGCCAAATGCTGAGGCCTGTGGCTTCGGATGGGCTTAAGAACATGCATGAGCCTGAACCTGGGACCGGACCGCCTCACGGCAACCAGCGATCCTCCCTGAGGAAGAAGTCTTTGCAGATACTGCACCAACCTGCCCACAGGAAAGAAAAAAAATAGGTGTTCTAAGCACGTCGGACCCAAAATTCAGAATAAGAGTCCTCATGTGCTTCAATGCTTTCGGGAGGGGGGAGTGGTTTCGAGGAGTAGGGCTTCTTCTGCTAACTTTTCCCCCCTCCCCATTCCTTGGAGCATGTGTCACAGCCTGTGACACACTGCCAAGGGAACATGGATGCCGGGGAAATGTCTACACACGCTACACGTTTGTGACATGCCATGTAAGCGACACCCTGTTTCCTGGCTGGGTTTTCTTGGCACAGGTGTGGGCAGGCATTGGATTCTGCCACCACCACCACCACCACCACCACCCGCCCCCACCCCCCCAACAACCGTGCTTAGTAAACAGGATCCCAGCCACCCCAGGGGGAGTGTGCATTCTGGAGAAGACCTGCCACCTCTCCACAGAGGACGGGATCCCCTCAGCAAGGCTCAGGCCCAAGCAGAGCTGGTGCTTGAAACTGTCCTTGTTTCAAAAACACAAAGCATCCTGCTCAGGCTCCTGCCCGCCACCCCCACACCCTGCGACCCCACCACAGCTCTTTCCCCACCTTGCAGATTTGATTTCAGAAACAGATCAGTGACTTCTCTCCCTCTCATCCAGCGGACCCAGTCCCAGCCATATATTAGAAACAATAACAGTAACAAAATAAAACCAGCCACAGAACACACGTATACACACACTTAACAGACAATGCAAGACCAGGGCCCCACGGGCCAGCTTCCACTCCAGAACTTGACCGCCCCTCGGTGGGGAGGAGATAGTCCAGGACCCCTGCCCCCTCCCCCGTCCCCTTCCCCTTCCAACCTCCCAACGTGCGAATGAGATTTTTCAGAAAGGGAAGCACCCAGTTTTGCCTATCAGCCTGGGCAGGAAAAAGACAGTAGAGCACAGAAAGGAACTGGCTTCTGGAAATTCTTTGGGTTTTGGGGTTTCGAGGTTGTTAGGTTTTCTTTCTTTCTTTCTTTTTTGGTTGTTTTGGTTTCCCCTCCAGCGCAGATCCAGAAGGGCCGCGGGCTTTCAGAAAGGGAACCCCCACCACCCTCGGGGCCCAGCCCAGGTCTATCCCACGGTCCCATCCATAAGAAACACTAGCTAGCGCTGGGCCCGGGAGGTCCCCAGATGCCCAGGCTGGGGTGGCCCGGATCCTATGCAGAATTCCTAGGGGTCTCCCCGAGCCCGCCCGCTGGGCACAAGGCAGCCCGGGGCGCAGGCCGGGAGGGGGGCACCGGGGTCCCCCCGCCGCCCCCTGCCCCGGCCCCGGGCCGACCCGGCACCCCGCAGGCCCCGGGCTCCAGGTGCAGCGGCGGGCAGGGGGCGGCGGCGAGAGGGGGCGCCTCCCGGCCCCGAGGCGAGGCGCGGGGGTGCCGGCGCGCCGCCGCCGCGCAGAGCGACTCACCGTGGCGGACGCCAGGCTGTTGTCGGCCAGCGTTAGGTGGTGCGGCTCCCAGCGCCTCAGGAATTTCGAGGTGAGGATCTTGCTGAGAAAGGTCCGCGGGTGCCGGATGACACAGACCTGGATGTCGCCCTCCTGCAGCAGTTTGTACCTCATCCCGTTGCACAGCAGAAGGGCCCGGCGGCAGGGCACGGCGCCCATCTTCGTGCCCTCGGGGGCCGGCACGTCGCCCCCCAGCAGCGGCTTGGTCTCCTCGATCTGCCGGGGGTCGCCGCCGCCGCCCGAGCTGCTGGTCAGATCCATGGCCGGCCGGGCCGGGGCGGGGGCCGGGGGCGGGGAAAGGGGGCTGTCCCGGGCTGCCGGGGCGGCGGGGCCCCCGAGCGGCGGCCCGCACCCCCCCCACCGCCCAGGAAGGTGGGGGGGCGTGGGGCTGGGGGGGGCGCCCGGCAGGGGAGGGGCCGGCGGGCTGGCGGCGGGCGGGTGGCCGGCCGGCGCTCGGCGCTTCCTCGCGGCTCCGCTTCCTCCTAGCTCGTCGGGTGCATGCTCGCGGTGGCCGGAGCGGCGCGGCGGCGGGCGGCGGGCGGCGGGCGGGGACGCGGGGCAGCGGCGGGGGCCGGGGCCGCGCGGGCGGGCGGGCGTGTCTCGGCCCCGCCGCCCGCTCGTGTGTACAGTACGTGTGTCTGGGCGGCCGTCCGCGGGCGAGTGTGCGGCGGGGGCCGCGGGGGCCGGCTCAGTTGAGAGATTGCAGAAGCCGCTCGGCGCCCGCGCGATTGGTCCCCGCGGGGTCATGTGCCCGCCCCTCTGACGTCAATGGCGGCAACGGCGGCGGCCGCCGCGGCTTCGGCCTCTCGCAGGCGGAGTCGGCCGCCGGGCGGGGACGCGAGGGGCCGAGGCGCGGCCCGACCGGAGGGGGCGGCCCCTGGGGAGGGGGCCGCGGCGGGCGAGCCCCGGCAGGCCCCGGCCCAGCCCCGCCCGGAACGTAGGGGTGGGCGGGGGCCGCGGGGGCGGGGCGCGTGACGTCACGCCCAGCCGCGCCCCCGCCGGTGCCCAGGCCGGTGCCGGGGCCGGTGCGAAGCGGTGCGGCCCGCCCGCCCCCGCCCGGCCCCCCAGCCGCCCCGGCCGGCCCGGATCGGAACGGTCAACGCCCCGGGACGTGCGGATGCGGGCGGCCGACGTGCGGCCAGGTGCAAACCCAGGGCCCGGGTGAGGGGGGGGGCGTTTGGGGGTGGGCGGCAGGGCGGGACGGGCGGGGGGGGAGGCGGGGGGGGGGGGGGGGCTGGACCGCCTGACCTGTGACACCCCCTCCACAGCTCAGGCTGTCCACCTGACTGGCTAGATGGGGCTATAGGCAGGGGTGGTTCTTCGATTTTAAAATGTCCTCTCAGTTATCCGGATAATGAGCCCACACTGCCCTGTCTCAGCCTGTCGGACTCCGTCCGAGAGCCCCCTGGCCTTTTACAGATGTCTGTCGGGACTCGGCCCTTGTGGTCCTCAAGCCGCCTGGGGGAGGGGACAGATTCCCCAGCCCCCCTCCTGTGCCCCTCGAGTCTGACCCCTTCTAGGAACCTAGACAACAAAGTCCCTCCCCAAAGTTACTGGGCCACTCCCCTTCTTCCTGAGCCCCAGCCTTGCCAGCTTCTTTGCCTCTCCCCTCAGACCAGCCCATTCATCCCTGCATGGGCAGGCCCAGCAGAAGGCTGGGAGAGAATCATATTGGAATGAACCACAGTGTCACCTAGGAACTCCAACCCTGAAACAAAAACGTCCTCTTTCTGGCATCAGGAGCGGCACCTGAAGCCACCCAGCAAATGCTCAGCTCCTCCGCCAGGTCTTCCCACAGCCGCACGCTTCTGCAGTTAATACCATTTAAAGCCCCAGATTTTTGCCTTTTTTGTTAAGTGAAGGTGCCTCTGTAGTGATTATATGAGTGTGTGTGTGTGTGTGTGTGTGTGTGTTGAATTGACTGGCAGCTTGCCCACAGCATCCCTGTGGTGGGGATTATCCCCTCCCCACTCTCTCCCAACAACAGACAAGGTGGAGGGACTCCTGGAAAGATCCTATCCCTGAGCCTGGCAGGAATGGGGGGGTGGGAGGCCATAGGGCAGAGCATGTGCCATGTGTCAGGAGATGGGCCATTCTCTCCTCCTGGGTCCTGGGGGAGGCAGTTAGGTGAGAAAATGGGGAATTGATCAACTCTCCACAATTTGCTGGCAAATTCTGTCCTTCGAATTCTAAAAGTTTACAGCCCTGAGAAAATCATCAAGCAAGAGAGGGTCAAGCGCATGCCCCCCCCTCATGATACAGATGTGGATTCAGGGTATGGTCGTGACTAAAACCCCCAGGCCGCCAAGGGGTGGGGTTAGGCCTGCTCTTCCAACCTTTTATGGAGCTCTTCCTGTATGCTAAGTGCTGTGCGTGCATACAACTGTTCCTTCTCACAGCACCTGTAATATGGGTTTCATCATCGTCCCCTCGGGCAGACAAGGGTACAGAGAGGCTGAGGGACTCGCCAGGCTCACTTAGCTCATCAGGCTCAGAGCTTAGAGGCTAGGACAGTATAAAGGCAATGACCATGCTGTGCCTGGGCTAGAGGAGCGGAGAGAGGACACCTGAGCCATACTGTGGCGCTGGGGTACACGTCCCAACCCCAGGAGGTCTTCAGGAATCAGGTAAAAGAAGGGCAAAGGTGCCCCTGGAAGGGGGAATGGCACATGCAAAGGTAAAGACGTGGGAGACACTCAGCCTGTCCAGGAAGCTGCATGCATTTGCCAAGGCATGCAAAGTGCCCCAGGGTTGCAGGACAGAGGCCTAAGAGGTGAGCGGGGGCTGCACAGGTAGTGCCCTGAAATGCAGGTCCAGGAAACGGACTTCCTCTGAGAGCCACCGAAAGCCACCACGTGGACCACGCACGGGAGTGGCTTGTAGATGTCACCTTCATAAGGTCACTGGCCACAGCATGACATGGACAAGGTTTGCGGAGAAGCAGCCCGGAGACAGGGAAGGCAGTGGGGAGGCTGTTGAGAGCACCCGGGAGGGCGATGGTGGGGGCCGGCAAGGAGTCATGGAGGAGGGCAGCCGGAGCAGCTGCTGTCCACCTTAGGGACATCCGTGGACCCCCCCTCTCCCCATTCAGGGGGCAGACTCCAGGAGAATGAGATTTACCAGGGTGCAGAGAATCCCCGATTTCTTCCAGGACCATTCCAGACATCCTCAGCGGCTGCTTGGTACAGTGGTTGATTTGTGAACATTACGTAGGAATATTATGATAAAAATGAGCAGCATGCCAAGTGCCAGGTACTATGCAGGGCTTTCATGTTCGTTCCTCTTCCTTCCTCCCAAGGAGCCCGGAAGGCAAGAATCATTATCATCCCCATCCTAAAGGTGAGGAAGTTAAGGCTCAGAGATGGTCAGAAAACCGTGGGAATCCAGCCAAGATGTGAACCCGTAATTCCATTTGACCTGAAATTCCACACTGTCCCCACTCCTTCTTTGTAATGTTTTCCTGCGCAGGTGCTCAGGGGAGAAGTGTCGAATTCAACTGATGTCGTCTTTAAATGCTATTTCTTGGTGTTCATTTGAAGTCAGTGACACGGAGCCCCCAGGATGCTGCAAGAAGAGATCCATGAAGGCAGAATGCAGCGGCTCCTGGCCGACAGCAGAACTAGCTCAGTGCCTACATGCAGTGTAGGGTCAACTCAACAAATAGGCAGTGATTGACCAAGTGATAGTCACACTCACCTATTCCCTGGTGCTTAGGAATGTGCAAGCAATAGGACCGGGTCTATACATTGGGCAGCGTTGATACTCGGTGGGCCAATGCAGAGTCCCTTGCCTCTCACTGTTCCAGGTTCCTAACCTAAAAATCAATGAGTCTAGGTGCCAGATTCCATCAGAAGCCCCGTCCCTGCAAGCCCCCAACCTCTGTAGGAGATGCAAGCAGGTCGAGTTTCCATGGATGGATCACACACCCGAGTTGTCCTTGATGTCACCGGATCCAGACCCTCCAAAGAAGAAGCCAGGCCCCTCCTGGGCCACATGGGTAGAGAGCCCACTCACTGTGGCAAAGCTCTGTGCTAGGAGCTAGGGTTGCAGTGAAAGGCAATAAACTGCCCTCATGGGCTCACATCTCGGCTCTCAGGTGCCTAAGTCTCCCCCTGAGCTAAGAGGGGAAAGACAGAGCTGGCTGCCCTCAAAGGAATGTGATGAAGTGGCAAAGTCCCTAGTGGGGGAGGAGAACATGGGGCTGATGGCCAGCCCTGGGAGAGGTTTCCCTCAGCACCCTCTCCCAGCACTCCTGCCCCTTCCAGGGGACATGCCTGGAGCTGGGTGGACTCCTCCTTGGTGTGGTCCCCAGTGGAGATCCCCACCAGCCTCTGCCCAGCCCCCATCTTGCCCCACCCCCACCATGAAATGGTGCACAAACCCAACACCCTGTACCCTCCAAGAGGGCAGGGTTCATTCCAGTTTTGCCCATCACTGTGCCCAGTGGTTTACTGGTAAATGTTTAACCGTCAGCTGACTGAAAGAAGAGAACCTGATTTAGAGCATTTGATTTGCCTGGTGGAAAATATTCCCACCATGGCAGTTTTCAAGCTACCAAAGTGCATCACTGAACAAGGAGTTGGGAAGAGATGCATCCCATCATAGGATATTTCTACCTACAGATACAATGTACCCGGGGTCACATCAGCAAACAATGGCTGAGGGCCCAGATTCAGCTTGTGGCTGGCAAAACAAAATACTTACCTTCTGGCCCTTTTACACATTTGGAGACCTCTGCAATAGACATAACCTTCAGACCAGAGATACTAATAAAATGTAATAGAATAGGAAGTGATGAGTTCTATTACCTTTTAAAAATACAATTGTAACTTTATATAATTTAAGCTTGTTTAGTGGCTGTTTGACAACCAACTTGAAAAATTTCTGAAAAACCAGCAACCAGCTCTCATGAGCCAGTGTAGGGTCAGCTCCAGGATGCCTGGGTCTCTAGGGCCTGGCCCAGAGGAGATGCGCTGTGGTTATCTGTTGATGGCTGGAAATCAGTGCCTGTATTCAAACTACTAGGCCACACTGCCCTGCCACTTTCCTTCATTCTTTCATTCGATTCCATTAAACACCCAGCTATTCATGCCTCCAGAGTGCCAAGGACTTTGCTAGGTACAGTTAGTTCTCCTTTATCTGCAGGGGATACGTTCCAAGACGCCCCCCCCCCAGTGGATGCCTGAAGCCACAGATAGTACCAAACCCTCTACAGACGGTGTTTTCCTATACATAGATACCTATGATAAAGTTTAATTCATAAATTAGGCACAGTAAGAGATTAACAACAGAGACTAATAATAGAACAGTTTTAACAATATACTGTGATAAAAGTTATGTGAATGTGGTCTTTCTCTCTCAAAATACTTTATTGTACTGCACTCTCCCTTCTTGTGAGGATGTGAGATGATTAAATACCTACAGGATGAGGTGAAGTGAGGGGAATGATGTAAGCACTGTGACGTAGCATCAGGTTACTACTGACCTTTTTTTTTTTTTTAAGATTTTATTTATCTGGGAGAGTGAGAAAGTGGCAGAGGCAGAGGGAGAAGCAGGCCCCCCGCCGAGCAGGGAGCCTGATGCAGGACTCGATCCCGGGACCCCGGGATCATGACCTGAGCCACTTGGGCAGAGGCTTAACCAACTGAGCCACCCAGGCGCCCCTACTATTGACCTTCTGACCGTATGTCAGAAGGAGGATCATCTGCTTCTGGACCCGGATTGATTGCGGGTACCTGAAAGCACGGGGAAGGGGGGGACTTGTGTACTGCAGATCCAGCTCACGCAAGATTCTGCCCTCACAGAGCTCATAGTTGCGTGGGGGGAACCAGACACCCCTCCCTTCCAATCATCTCCCCCCGCCAAAAAAAGAGTATGCCAGGAAGGAAACAAACTCCTTGCCCTTCCCTTTCTCAGCTCTATGTATTTTGTTGATTTACCATGAAGCGGGGTGGTAAAAGAACCTCTTCCCAGGTCATAGACATTAAATGAGATCATCAGCATTGGGCTCACAGTCTGGCACAAAGTAGGCACCTTGAATAAACAGCGGCTATCTGATGTGGCTACTGTCAGTTGAGAGGCCACGTTTCCCCAGCCCTGGTCACTGGCTTTCCGTCTAGTCCACTTGTCCAGACCTCCCCCATCTGCCCAACAAGTGGCACTCAGACACTCTCAACACAGCCTGTCTGCGGGGTTTTTCAGGCTCGGCGCTATGAACATTTGGGGCTGGATCGTTCTTCACGGCGGGCAGCTGTGGTGCGCGCTGTACGGTATTTAGCAGCATCCCTGGCCTCAGCCCATAGACACCAGTAGCAGCCGTAATCCGTGACAACCGCGATGACTCCAGGCATTGCCATGTGTCACCTGGAAGGCTAAATCACCCCTGGTTGAGAACCCCTGGTTTAAAGGAAGATGTTTTCCCGCCCTCTTAGCCGGTCCACGCTGCTCCCCAGGCATCCTCTGGGGGCGATTATGTTGTCCACCCTCATGCCATGGCATGTTCCTCCTCAGATGCCGCTTCCCGGGGGCTGGAGCAAACACAGCCGGCTTTATCAGACTGTCAGGGAACACGCAGACCCACAGGAGGGAATAAGTTGCAACCTGTTTCAAGTCGTGTTTCTGGAGCCAATTTCGTGGCATGAGGCATGCCTGTAGTAAGATGCCAAGCACCAAAAGCAGGCAACAAAATTGTTCTTAAGTGGTCCCAATTTTGTACCTACCCATGGCGCTATTTCTTTGGGGGATCTCTCGGGAAGCTCCGTCTGGAAACTCTGTCTCAGAATGGCACCGGCCAGGAGAGCACTCCCAAACCTCATTTTTAACAGGCATGAGACGCCAACATAATGGAACACACACTCCATCCCGATGGCATTTAATGTACTGGTCAAATAAAATGTGCTATTTTCCTCCTATGAGGAGAGGAGTCGTGTTTTCATCCTGAAGTCGGTGAATAGCCTCCCCCCTCTCCTGAGCTGAGATAAAGTCAGCTCACTTTCTAGGCTCCCGCATGGGGAGGTGGGGGAGGGGGTAGGAGCAGGTTTCCTCTTCAGCAGCCTGTGATACCGGGTAGCTGAATGATCACTGCACACACACCCCCCCCCAAACTTCTCTGGTTTCAGAGGGCAAAGCTGGACATCAAAAGAACACGAAGTACCACCCTCTCTCCCCCTTCCTTTCCTTGCTTTCACCAAATGATTATGTCTGAGGTTAGTAAAAAGTATTACAGAGGATCGAGTGTTTATCTGGAACTAATATTTCTAACACACAGTTGACTGATTGAGTTACCTACACACAACAGAACCTTAATAGTGGTTATCTCTGGATTGACGGATTACAGGTCATTTTTTCCACTTCTTAAATCCATGTTATTGAAGAATAATTAACACGAAATAAAACACACCCACTTTAAGAGAACAGGTTGATAAGTGTTGAAGAATGTATACACCCATGTAACCACCATCTCCATCAAGATAGCAACACAGAACATTCCCACAAGCCCAGAAAAGTTTTTTGTTGCTCCTTTAAGCCAACCCCAGCCGCCCACTTCTGGTCCCAGGCATGCCCCATTCTGCCTTCTCTCATTATAGACAGTTTTACCCCTTCTGGAACTTCATATAAATAGAATTAAAAGAGGGGCACCTGGGTGGCTCAGTCGGTTCAGCATCTAACTCTTGGTTCTGGCTCAGGTCATGATCTCAGGGTCCCGGGATCGAGCCCCGTGTTAGGCTCCTCGCACAATGGGGAGTCTGCTTGGGATTCTTTCCCTCTACCCTCCCCTCGTGCTCGCTGTCTCTCTTGAAAATAAATATTTTTTTCAATAAATACATAGACTCGAAAGATATGTGCTCCTTTTGGTCTGACCTCTTTGACTCAGCATGACAGGTTCCGAGATTCATCCATGTTGGTATGTGCATCCTGGTCTCTTTCGGAGTCCACTTACCGTAGCCATCACGTGGCTATAACATGGGTACATGTTTTCTTCTTTATGCTCCCCCCCAACATTTCTACAACAAGCATGTGTTGATTTGTTTTCATTTTTAAAAAGAAGATGAGCGCCATTTTTTTTTCTTTTTTAATTCACGGGGACTTTACTAAAAGCCCAAATGCCAGGCCGCTGTTGACGTGCAGAAATGGTTGCCTGGCACAGCTACATGGAGGATTGAAGGCCATGGATCATGTTTTTAAAAATAAAAACCACTGTGTTTTTCAGATTAATTGCATCTCTCTCCCACACCAGCCTTTGCGGTGAGCTGCTCAAATTGACCAATTTAAATGTGACCTCACTTCTTTGCCCTCTATCCGCTCTGAGTCAGTTGCTAAGAAGCAAGAAAGGAAGTATCGGGGGGAATGTGTTACATGTGTGAAGTACCTGCCACCCCCCCCAAAACTTGCCCACATCCCCCTTCACACTGGGCCCTCCAGACAATGTTCAGATGGGCGACGATGATGGTATCACCCCATGTGCAGATGAGGAGGCTGAGTCAGGACCCGGGGTCTGTCTCAGACCCCACAGCAGGAGAGTGGGAAGATGCCATCCCAGGGCACCCGGTAGGATGGCAGGGAGGTTGGTAGCACAAACTTTGGATATGGATCCCAAATGTCCACCTTACTTAGCTGAGTGATGCTAACCCAGTCTTTCAACTCTCTGACCCTCACTCTTCCTCTGTGAAACAGAGACCCCACTGTGGATGCTCACCATTGAGCTAACGAGAGAAGGTGCATAAAGTGCTCCAGACAAGGCTTAGGAAGAAGTCAGTGTGCTCAATCACTGGTGGGGGAGCATGGCTTCTTACTCCTCTTTCTTCAATCACAGCACCAAACTAGAGCTGATTCCAGCCTGCCTGGGCCAAAGGGAAAGGAGTGGACATTTTGTGTAGCCCCAGCAGAGAAGTGAGAAGCCAGTGTCCAGATGTAGCTAAGATCTCGGCTGCCACAGAAACCAGAGTAGCTTCATAAAGAGTACAGACCAAGGGTGTCTCACTGAACCCCAATGGCATAAAGGTAGCCAGTCTCAGAAAAGACCAGAAACCAGGGCCCAGGGCCTTCTTTCTGCTTTGTGTGTCTGCTTTTCTCTGTGCCACACTCTCCCCGGCTCCCACCCTAGTCGTCTCTGCTCTGTCACCTCAGCATGACATAAGGTAGCCATTTGAGAGACCAGCTGGGATCAAACTAGGATCTCTTTGGCCCAGTTCCAAGGGAAGTACTTGGTCAGCTCAGCTTGGGCGAGATGCTCCCCACCCCTCCAGCCAGTGGCTGAGGCAAGTTCTACCAATATGGTTGCTAAAAACCACTCCCTAAAGGTGAGAACGATGGTCATGCAGGTCACCGTGAGCCAGAGAGCAACCCCCACCCAAGAAATGTCTTATTACAAGTAACAACCACCTGTTTTACTGTGTTCCCCAACTATATGCATTTCTTTATCTTATTAACAATCATAACAAATAACCACAATAGGGCTTACTGTGTGCCAGTCACTGGTATAAGCGCTTTGCATACGATGACTCTTTAAATTAATCCTCACAAAAATGCAGTGAGGTTTATTTTGTCCATTATACAGATGAGGACACTGAGGTAGAGAGGCTAAGCACCTTGCCCAAGATCACACCTGCACTTGGCCAGTCTGGTACCAGACCTGCTCTCTTACCATGTGTGTTATCTATTTTAGCCCCAATTGTGCTTTTTCTAATTCCTCTGTTAGCCCAAGTCTCTCAAAATAAGAGAAGGAAAAAAAAAAAAGGGTGAGGAAGGAGAAGAATGTAATATGTAACATTTTACAAAAGCATTTAATAGTGGACAATGGGAAACACTGGAACCCGCTGGTGGCCATCTCCCTGTTCCTTTCTGAGCTGGAGTTGGGGGGAGAGCAGGCGTGGTCGCGTTGCCGCTGCCTCTCCGCACAGCCCTGTGACCCTTCGCTGGCCTAGGACCACCCGGGGCAGGACGTGCAGCTTCTTTACCTCCCACCCTGTCCCTGCACACAGCAAGGTTTGTTGTTGTGGAGAAACGTGTACCCCACCTCATGGTCTTCAAAACGCTTCTAAAAACAGGCAAAGAGATCAGTTCAAATATTGTCCCTGTGAGACCTCAAGAAAAGGGAGTTCGTGGAAAGAAGGTACACACGAGAACCCAGCCAACGATGAGCAGCCAGGCCTTGGGAGGAACAGGCATCATGGCGGGGTCTGCACAGAGCCTCCTCTCTCCCCTTCCCTCTGCTCTCTGGGGACTCTGCTCAGTGCCTCACGGAGCATTGCCTCTGCCTGTGTGCCTGGCACCGGCCCCGCCACGGCCACCTCAACCCCGGCCCCCAGGGCTAAATGGCCACTGTCTCCCACTCCCAAATGTCCAGGTAAAGAATCTCATGAGCTGGCTAGACTTGATCCGGCCAGGCCCCCAAGTCTCAGGTTGCAGGCCCCAGGCTCAAAAAGGAGAGCGACTTGCCTGGCGTCTGCCAGAGAGAAGGTGCCAAGTCAGGATTCCGGTCTGTTGGCACCTGCACCCGTTTCGTGGGCTGCTGTAACGAAGTACCACAGCTGGGTGGCTGGGACAACAGAAACCTATTCGCTCCTGCTCTGGAGGCTCGAAGCCCCAAATCAAGGTTGTCAGCAGGATCGGTGCCTTCTGAGGGCTAGGGAAAGGATCTGCTCTCGTCCAGCTTCCAGCGGCTTGCTGACAGTATTGGATGTTCCTTGGCATGGAGATGCATCACCCCCATCTCTGCCTTCACGGTCAAGGCGCTCTCCCTGTGCGTGCCTGTGTCCAAAATTCCTCTTTTTATAAGGACACAGTCATATTGGATTCGGGGCCCACCCTACTCCAGGATGACCTCATCTTCACTTAGTACATCTGCGACAACCCTACTTCCAAATAAGGTCACAGTCTGAGGTCAGGGGGGTTAGGACTTTGACATCTTTCTCAGGGACACCAGTCAGCCCCGAGCAGAGCCCAGAGCCCGCCACAGAAGGGCCACTCCGTGCTGCCCCCCAGCCAGTTCACCCCACAACACGCCTCACTCCCCAGGCTCCAGTCAGCCCCGGAGGGCGTCGTTCTTCCTGTTTTCTCTGGAACAGGCACGGACACAAGTCTGCCCTACTGTCCTCAAGCTCACACCAGAGCATTCAGAGGGAGCAGTGGTGATTCAAGAGGAGCCACTCTGGGTGCCCTGGGGGGGCATGACTCACCCCTACCCCTGGTAAGGTACTTCAGGAGGTTTCTTCAGATGGACACAGCCCATTGTCTGTGCTTCAGCATCAGCTCTGGCTCCATGAGGCAGTTTTGGTGGCGTTAAACCTGAACAGCACACAATGGGCTCACGAGCCTCTTTCAGCGTGGACAACAATGACCGGTGAATCAAAGCCACCCAGCGAGAACTCGGACCACGTGGCTTCTCAGTGCTGGTGGTTGACAGGTGCCTGGGTCCTGGGCCAGTCATTCAGGGAAGTGGGTTATTTCTGTATTTATTCACTTTCTATTTTGTTTGGCTGAAAATCTTGAGCAGATTTTACCTAGAGGTAAGCTGGCCAAATCTATCCTGAGGATTAGTTGCATTTCAGAAGTCCTGGATCTGGGTTCAGGGTGGAAACCTGGCCCCGCGCATTACTCCGGCCGTGACCACCATGGAACCCTATGTGAGATCACAGGCCAGGAAGTGGCAGGGTGGGGACTGGAATCCAGGACCGTGTAACCTGGAGTCTGTGCTCATTTTGTACTTTGATTTGGTGACGCACAGTTTCAAGCCTGTACTTGGGTGTTTACCCCCTTGTAAGGGAAGATGCTAAGGGGGTCATCAATGCATCCAAATCCTAGCGGTTACGATTCCCTCCATTGCCAGGGAGCAGTCAGTGAGATGGAACATTTGCCTTGCTAGAGCTGAAAGAAACCACCTGAGGTCTTCTGTCCGCCCCTCCTATTGTGC